AATTCTCAACTACACGACCGAGAGTATGTACGAATCAGTCCAAAGTATAGTTGAAGTTAGACAACTGAACTGAATTCGAAGTTTTGGGTGATTGTCGAAGAAAGAGTGGTGAGGCCGTTACTTTATGACCAGAGGCTCTCTCTGTCTGTCTCCAATTATATTTTGTGCGCATGAGAGATCATATTGGCATTGATTTGTCTGGTTTTCTGAATTCGATCCTTGTATCGGCACATTTTTCGGATATTTTCCCTTGTATGTGAGAGAGAGAAAAAGACCAAAAGAAGCTGACAGCACTCAGTAGTTTATGTGATATTCCAGCACTAAGTAGTTTATGTGATCTTCTGGCACTAAGGTGCCCGGAGTGCCTACACCTCTAGTCAATAACATGGACCTGTTGATAGTCACATAAACCTCCCATGTATTACAACATTGATTACCAAAATTTCTGTTTACAATGTGCTTATTTTTCTTACCAAATTTGTATTTTGGTTTGCCTCAGGAGGAAAGCATGAGAAAAAAGATTTTGCTCTTGACATTAATCAATTAAAATTGCACTTAAATTGTAAAGAGTCCATCTTCCTTTTCTACCTACGCCCACATGTATGTGAGAAAGTTGGAGTTTCTGAAATTTGGTTGTTATAAACCTTCCAACATAACTAGGTTAGAAGGTTATTTAGCTATTTATTTGTCAAAAAACAGTGACTTCATCTGAAATTTGACTTGTGTGTGGTTATTGAGATGCTTTGGTTTGTTGATGCAAAAATTTTACCTGTTTTTGGTTGCTCTGTTCAACCATCAATGGCGGGCTTTGTACAAAAATGGAGTTTCTTCTAAGTGTGAGTTCATCTGTGTCTTCATTGCATGTTTCTACCAATGTGTTTTTGGGTTGGTTTTTGTTGACAATGGGTTATCACAGACCTGAACAATGAAAGTTACAACAGGCACGCTAATTTGCATAGGAAATTTATCTTTGCAGTCTTACAATTTAGTTATGTTTTAGATAATGAACCTGAAATGTGTTAAATACAACACTCCAACTCTCTTCAGTAGGTTGGAAAAACACTTTCTAATATGTGTTTTACTTTGTTTTACTCTTCCATTTTTGAGATCTCACTGGATCACATTGTCTAGTCATAGTCGAAGTCACATGGTAAGTCAATCAGCTTCTTTTCTTCTTCGCTCACACATAAAAAGGAATATATGTATATCTGTGTGTGTCTGCATTCTTGAAATTGGGAGAAAGTTTGAGCATTGTTTGGTTGATCTATCCGACAAATATTAATTTTTTGAATTTTGTTTGACTGATTTTGAGCTTGGGAATTCACTGATTTGAAGTTAAGAGATTGAAAGCTGAGATTTGGGAGGGCAATCTAGTGTTTTTATCGTGCTATGAAAAATGGGCTAAGGTATATTTTTACTCTACTTCTAGCATTTCATTAGTCACTTAGAATGGGGCTAGCAGCCTTTGTCTTTAGAGCTGCATTTTTACTCTATGTCATGTCTTTAGAGATGAGATGAGATATCAAAGTCATGTCTTTAGAGATGAGATCTTGATAGAAGTTTGGTCTTTGGTCTTTCCCCTCACAGGAGAGACCTAAATCTGATAGTGACAGTGCCACTACAGAGAGAACTGGATCATTTGTCTTATCACCGACTGAGTCTATTATCATTTATTCTGCATCCATTCTAATAATTTGTTCCATATAGGCTGAGTGATTGTTTTTTGCTTCCGCAGGCATTTCCTTCCTTTTAACGAAACTTGCGTATAGATAGATGTTTTCTCTGGAACCAGACTAGCATGAAGGATAACATATAGATGGAATTGTATCTATTGGGTTGATTTTTGCGGGTCAATTGAAAGAACTAAACGTTATATATATTCTAACTGGTAAGATTAATTTGTCTGTTTCATTTTTTGCGTGCTTGAGATTGAGAATACGGATTATTGGTGGCTTATTTATTGTTTTAGCATGAGTAAGGCTAAGCAACATTAGCATGTTCCATTTCAACTCATTGCACTCCATGGCTTCTGAATCTAGGTGCAACTAATAGAATGCTAAGCAAGGTGTCCTTCTTGTATATACTACTTTTGGAACATACCTTATAACTCAGGATTGCTTCTGCTTTTTCTTTTTGCATTGAAGCTATGTTTTGTTGAATTTGTTTTCTTTTTAAGACTATCCATGTTATTTGGATTCTGCCAGTGTTTTCATGATGTTGTCTGTGTTAGAAAGTCACTTAATCCATAAATAATGGTCTGGCATTCAATGCGGGTCAAAAAATATGACTGCTTGCTTTGTGAGCAGCATCTAAAGTACTAAAGAAATAAAGAAAGAAAAAGGGTTAATATTAAATTTTTTTTAGTTTTACCTGAATGGATCAGAAATGATCTTGAATATCATGTACAATTTTTTTATTTTCTGGTATATAACAATGCAATAAGATTTCATTATACCCTTTCTGATGCTTATATGGTTGTTTTTGTCTTTAATTTCAGGTCACCCAAAACAAGTAGTGCAGCAAGAAGAATTTATTCGGATGTTTTTTTAATTTAATTTGGTTGGATAGGTTTTCTTTGAATGTATTTTGGATATAATATTACCTATTTTAGTGGATTTGATTGTACATGTTTTTTGCGGTTGAATTGCACATTTTAGTGCATGAAAATTTTATGTTTAATTTAATTGCTTAGATTTTAAGGAGAATTACACCTAGATCCCTTGAAATTTGTCACTTAATCCTATGACGTCAATGTTTTTTAGTATATTTATTAGTAAATTATATTCGGATCCCTTAAAGTTTGTATTTGTGTAATATTTAAACTCCTCAACCTTAAAATATTGAACTAAGATAAAAAATATTCCAATAAAAAATGGAATATCAAATATTTTAAATTTTACAATTAAAATATATGTTTTATTATGTTATTTATTGAAATAAAAATAAAAATAAAAATTTATTTAAAAAAAAAAAAATTATAATTAGTATACAAATTATATTATCTATTAGAATAAAACTAAAAAATAAACAAGGGGTCAAATTGTAATAGACACAATATCTTCTATCTTTAATTAGAGTAATTTGGTCAATTAGTAGATTTTGTTAGTTTTATAACTAATAAGATATTTAAGTATAATATTTTAAATTTGAAAATTCTAAATATTACATGCTTACAAATTTTAGGAAATTTGAGTATAATTTATTTCTTCCTAGATTTTATTGTGAGCAAAATATAAAGGAAAAGAAATGCAAAATATTTAGCCAAATCTGATCCATTCATGCATTAGCAGAAGAGCAATGCTATTGTAACTTAATTTATTGACCTAATTCATAATAATTTTTGGATTAATTATGGGTTCTATCTAATATAATATTAGAATTTAGTGTTTATTCCATGATTCTAATAAAACAACGTCGTTAGGTCAGCAAATAGCCTAATTTCTAGAATCCCTTGGTTAGATTTTATCGTTAACGAAGAGGTGTACAAAAGGAAGGAAATTAACAATTGAAACTGTGTCGGCGTTTGCTAAACGCCAGTAATTAAAATTTTCGGCAACCGGCCTCCATTAAACAAGCCGGAGTTTAGCTTTCCCCGGTTGCTTCAGGAAAAAGAATTAGCCGGTTTCTCCAGCTGTTCATGGCGTTTAACAAAAGCCGGGATTGTTCAATTTTCTTGCAGTGGATCACGTCCCCACCCTTTTGGGATTTATATTAGTAGCTGGACTAATTCAGCTTTGAGTTTCTAGGAGGAAGCGATAGGAAAGGAGGGAGTTAGGAGTCATGTTATACTGATTAAATTTTAGGATTAAATTAAGAATTCAAATGATTTGACAGTTGATTTGATTTTTTTTATATGTTACCATATCATTTGAACTCTTGATTTGGTTCAAAAATTTGGTCAATGTAGCGTTACTGCTCTGATTTACCGGAGATCAAACTAACATTATTTTCTTCATTTTTACTACACTTATACAGAAGAATCTCCTCTTTTGCAAGATACAATGGCATACAAGAAAGAGCAATGGGGGGTTACAAAAGCTTCTGTCCACTGTCCCTTATTCCTTTAATATTCTTTTTCTAGAACACAACCACAGGGTGAAAAAGAGAAGTAGATGAGATATATAGAGTTGTAAAGTGCTCTTGATGTTGGTGCAAGATTATAAAGGGTCCTTCACATTCTGTACATTGAGGTGGCGTAATTGAAGGGAGGAAGACTGCTGCATCTATGTGGAAGGAAGGAAGGCCCTTGAAGCCATCTTAATTCTTAAAGGAAACAAAAGGGAGCAAAGAGAGCAGACAGCATCACAACTCAAAGAAGCAAAGTCAGAAGCAAGACAGAGACAAGCAACGGTGCCACCATTTCTTTTGTGAATTTCAATTCTGGAATCTCATAAAAAAAGTGATTGTGTTTGTTTAAACAGTAATGAATGCGTAAGCTGCCAGAGCAGAATCTGTGCCACCAAGAAGGGGCTGAGGATGGATGCCACAACGCGATGGGTCATGTACGAGTGAGAAGGCACTAGCAGCCGCAACGAGCACATTAAGTCCCGCTAATACACATGAGAGAGAGAGAGAAGAAACATAAGCCACTAAGCTCACTGGTTGTATAGCTTTAAAAAATTCACAGTGATGGTGTATATGTTCGAGTTTGGTCTAACAAATTTCCTGGGGCTAATGAGACCGTTACGTGAACCTTGCAGGGGCCCAAGGAAGATAACCCTTTACAGCTTTCCAGTGAAATGATACCCCGTCCACATGTAAACAGTGGATACCAACCTTAACCAATGAACCTTTCTTGAGCTGTAGTGGCGTCTGATGCCTTCCTCTCATTCCTCTCTCCCTCCTTTCGTCTCTCCCTCTCTTTCTCTCTCTCTCTCTCTCTCTCTCACACACACACACACATATGTTTCATGCTCAATGGGCTCGTTAAACTATAAATAAGCTCATACATCAGTCAAGCTTTTCATTCTTGTGTTCATTGCAGCATTTGTTGATAGATATAGCATAGTCTTGGTCTTTCTAATCTCTATTACGTATACATTATGGAAGGCCTGCAAGCCACAAATCGTCCTCCATGGTTTCGATTTGGTCGCCCACTAACCCCAGCTCCCGCCCCCGCCCCCGCCCCCGCTCCTACACCCTCACCGGCTCCAACCACCCCTGCACCGCAGCCAAGGCCAACATCTTTTCCACCCGCAATTGCCCCAACATTTAGGCCTCCAACTCCACTATCTGAGCCTGCCCCACGACCACCAACACCCGCTGCTTCACCTCCTCTTTCTCCTCCAATAACTCCTTTGCCTACACCGTCACCAACTACTGTGGCACCACCACCACCCCCTGCTCCTCTAGCCAGTGCTCAGCCACCACCGACTACCGTTGCACCAGCACAACCTCCAACCGCTGTCGTTGCGCCTATTCCTGCCGCCACTACTCAGACACCACCAACTACTATAGCACCAGCACAACCTCTAGGACCTGCTCCTGCATCTCCTCGTCCTCCCACCATACCACCACTACCGACTACTGTTGCACCACCATTGCCACCTGCTCTTGTACCTCCTCCTCGTCCTTCCATTGCCCCACTACCACCTGCTGGAGTTGCAGTTATTCCTGCCGTCACTACTCAGACACCACCGACTACTATAGCACCAGCACCACCTCTACCACCTGCTCCTGCATCTCCTCGTCCTCCCACCACACCAACACTACCGACTACTGTTGCACCACCATTGCCACCTGCTCCTGTACCTGCTCCTCGTCCTTCCACTGCCCGATTACCACCTGCTGTAGTTGCACCTATTCCTGTCACCACTACTCAGACACCACCGATTACTACAGCACCAGAACCATCTCTACCACGTGCTCCTGAATATCTTCGTCCTCCCACCACATCACCACTGCCGACTACTCCTGTGCCACCATTGCCACCTGCTCCTGCATCTCCTCCTCCTCCTCGTCCCACTGCTCCACTACCACTTGTTTCTGCATCTCCTCGTGCTGTCACAAAAACGCCACCTCAATTCCCCCTAATCAGGCCTACTTTTACTACGCCACCTCCTCTAACTCTACCTTCAGCCCAAATGAAGCCTGAAACTGATCGTGAATCAAAGATACCAATGGAAGCTGAGCAGAAAAGCGTGTTGGTGCAAGAAACCATTGGTAAACCCAAGGTGATGCCTAAGACTTCCAATGTGGATCAGGAAAGGTATGTCAAAGGGAATGGAGAAGTTACTAAAGACAAAGGTACCCATAAGAAGCAGCTTTCAGATTCAGAAGAGTTTGGTACGAGGATTATAACAATTGCAGGTGAAAATAAAGGTGCTAGCATGGAATTGAGTTTGAACCCTTCCCGCAAGACACCTTACAAGAAAGGTAGTCCCAAAGCTTGGAGTGAGGGTGAGAAAAATGGAAGTGATAATGGCAACAATAAGGAAGAAGGAAGATCCAAAACAACGGACAAAGGTCAAAAGATGAACATGGCAAAGCAGTCACCACCCCCCATGAATGCCTTCGTGAATAGTAACGTACAGGGTGTGAACAACTCATTTTTGTACAATTGTCATTGCACTCACCATGATCCTGGTGTCCACCTTTCTCTCTCTAGAAAGGCCGGCGATGTTGAAGAGGGAATTCACCTGAAGGAAAGCATCAAAAATTGACATGTTTAAATGGATAAAGTGAGGGTATCGGATTTCTATGTTTCACTTTCAAGAATTACAAGTACTAGAGACTGTGATGAAATAAAAATATGAGTGATAATTATAATGAATGGGGGCATGAATTGTGATTCTCCAAGGTTGCATTCCAGTACTCCCATGGAAAGTGACTGAAGAGGGTCCCACGCCTTGTTAATATTGAGGGAGGTAGTTCTATATATTATGAAACAAGTAAATAATAAATGGCACAGTTTGGAATTCACTTTGCGGGTTGAGCCACTATTTTTTTTTATTATTATTATTATTTGCTCTAAATTGATCCATGGATCTATATGCTTTTTAATCAATATATTGCTGGCCTTGGGCATCGGGCTTCTGGGTTTACTGTCTGGCAGGACTTAATTAATAAAAATGATCTTCCATGAAGGAAGATGATTTATTTTAGACTTGTTTCTGTGGGCCTAGCCGTTGCTTTGAGGCTAACCTTTGAGTGAGCCCATATATTTTTTGTCACCCTGGTCAGGGGTACAAATGTCTGGGCAGGCCCTTTCCTTTTATATCACTAGTATGCAAAAAAATTTAGATCATAAAATTTAGATTATATTTTTTAGAAATATGATGTGTATGAAGTTAACGAAGTAAAAGACTGTTGATATATGCATTCAATGACTTATTGAATCCAATAAAAATTTCTGGCATTACAACATAAGACTAAGAAAAATCTTAAATATAATTTACTAATCTAAAACTATTCCACCACCACATGAATTCAAGAAGTCTAGTAACAAAACTAATTCTACTCATAATATAATAACTCCTAAAATATTACAAGCCTACTAATAATAAACAATTAAATATTAGGAGATTAATTTAACAGATTAAACTCTTCATTCCATGAAAAGTACCTTTTTTGGGGCGTTCATTATCACTTTGATGGGAACACCAATTCAATTGAACACAAATTAATTTTAGTTCTAATTACAAAAATTGTTGTAAGATAAATAGAGCATTTATGCAATAGCCATATCCAACTAGATGAAAAACAAAGTAAAGAAATTACTATACCAGCAATAGCAATAGACATGTTCTGACAGAGAAAAAAAAAGCTCACAAGTTGATAAAATCAAGCACCGTCGACCCTGCAGAGATATAAGACTAAAAATATTAATGAAGTTACTGAAGAGATATATGTCTATCTTCCTATATCTACCTATATATATTTATAATAAAGTTATTCAAAATATTTTGGAAGTCTAATAGGTATGAAAGAAAGAAAAATATATGGATTTAGCTCTTTACTCTTCTAATGAATTTTCGATGGTTGTATTTATCACCTAAAAATAGCAATTTTTTTTCACATTATATTAGAATTCTAGTTGAATTTGTCGAATTGAATGGAAAAGAAGAATGTACTAGCAAGTCATAGTGATAAAATTTATCTAATAAAAATTTTGAAAGTTATAGAGATAAATTTTATCTAACTAATACATAGTAATAAAATTTATCTAGCAAAAAATTTGGAATATTAGTGAAAAAGTTTATTCAGTAAAAAATTTGGAAGTCATAGAGTTAAAGTTTATCTAACTAATTTTTTCTAACAAATATACAGTGATAAAATTTATCTTGCAAACAATTTGGAATATCTTGCAAAAATTTTGAATATTAGTGATAAAATTTATCCAGCAAAAAATTTGGAAGTCATAGAGATAAATTTTATCTAGCTAATATTTTGTGGGCATAATTATCTTTAGTGTAATAATTAGGGGTGAAATAAAAAATCAAAATTTTTTCGCAAATGCTGACATTTATAAGTAGTATAAATATAGATATAGATAGATTATTTGCAATTAATAGACGAATATATAATTAATAAATAAGATGATAAATTCTACGTACGTAGCTTTGACGTCTCTGACTTTAAATAAAGAGTAATGATATGTATCATAAATTTGTAATCCAAATTTGCATCCTAAATCAAGGATGACCATTGGATCAGTGGGTCTCATTTAAAAAAATTGATGGGACTCACTGATCCAATAATCTTCCTTGATTTGAGATACAGATTTGAGTTATAAATTTGAGATACGCAGTAATACTTTTAAATAAATTGAGAATAGTGGTAACTGCTTTCACACAACTCCATTATAGCCTTCTTTTAATTTTTGGGGCAAGGGTTCTCTTCCTTTTCTCTATTGAGTCCGGATGTGGACGACTTGCTCTAAATTCTAAAGCACAAACTGTTTCCCTGTAAGAAGTTTTGCTTGTGCAATGGATTACAGATATGATATCATGTGGGTGGGTGGCTCTCAGAAAATGTGGCTATGATTACTTGTGCTCTTTCATTGCTCTGAATCAATCCAATAAAAACAATGATAAGAATAATCAATTTTAAAGAAAAAGGATGAATGGGGTCATGCCACTTCATCCGTAAATGGTTAGATACAACATTACTGACCTGATAAACCACCATGGATAGATAATATATATAGAAGCGTAAACAATATGCTATCTTTATGATTTTAGTTGATTTCATTTTATTTTATTTTTATATTTTTGAAACCTATGCGTAACTCTTTATGTGTACAATAGAAAATTCTATAACTAAGACCAGCGATCTTGTTTTGTATAATGTAAACGGACAGAGTAGATGCAATAAGTTTGAAGCTCATCACTGTTGTAAATCCCAAGGTTAATTTGGTTGCAGTCAAGAGACTAATTAACCAAAGTTGTCCTACTATAACATGTAGAGATCTCCATTGATTTGCAAGATCAATCACTTTGATTTCCAGAGAATCCGAAGCAACCTACTCAGGGAAAGTAATGTGACGTTATTAGCTTTAAGGCGGCACCAAGGGCCAGAATCCCCACATGTCCATGCTCTCCATCTCATTAGGATTCGACTTTGTTACAAATACACACTCAAATTACAGCAACCCCCCACCAAAACTCCATCTAGTCTTCCTATGTCTATGTTACATATATATATATATATATATTTTTTTTGGGAGGAGGGGGGAAGGGAGAGGGGGAGAAATATTTGAATCCTTGACCTCAAAAAGACAAATCTTTCACAAAATAAGGAGTATTATTGAGCTAAAGACCCGTTGATATACTACATACCGTTGATATACTACATATAGATAGATGTTCAAAAAACAAAAGAAAAGAAGATAGATAGACCTTTAAACATTCCTCTGATAAAGTCCCATTTGCCCGTAGAAGTAAGAAGTTGATGGATCACTTCTGGAGGAGCAAGCCCACTTGTACTTCTACCACATGTCATGGCCGCAAAGCTATGTTGATGAGACTCGATCGATTCTATATTGTTGTTACCCACCATGATTCTGAATGAGACCAAGGGTGGTCTTCTAGTGGACACCCCATAAAACATAGATGTAGTGGTTCTAATCTATTTCACTATATTCCACCACCCTACTAATATAAATCAGCCAAGTGCATTACGAGTGGATACGTACCCTACTAATATACGACACAAGTACTCTAGAAGGGAGATATAACACAGCTTATACTCGTCTCCCAAGTCTTACCAGTGTAAAAACCCTAAAATTTCTCAATTCCACCGAGAATAATCTGATATGGAGGACTTTGATTGACCACAGAAGACCTGGTGCTTCTTGTGTTTGAATCTTTGACTACACAGGGGAGGAATACTTGAGGGGCATCCGCGTCATTCCGGGAAATTCGTCACATCACGTAGTGGTTAGTCAAAGAAGCCATGCAGTCCCCAAACATGCCTATACTATACTTGAGGTTGAGTCTCCTCTCTAAACCGTCATACGTGTCACCATATGAGCCTTCCACCCAGCTAGTTCCCTTCCCTTTTACTTTCCACTCCTCTCACATTTCAGTTTCGACCTGCTAGCAGACTTTGAGGGGAAAAGCAATGAAGGTGTGTTTTAACCTTTCTTTGATGAACAAAAAGTATCTGCATTTTGCCACTCTTCACAAATTGCAGAGTTTTTGAAAATCTTCTCGAGTTTCATTTCATTGGTGTTTCTTTTCTTCTCATTTGTTTTTTTAATCCACAGATCTTTAACTGGGTGCACCGCAGATTCCATCACAAAGGTGATCAACTTTTCTTCCCCATTTTCAATACGAAGTAATAGAACACTCACACTGTCTACTTCGCATTTCAATAATGTATATATGTTTCTATTTGAATTTTGGCAAGGTGCATATACTTTGCCTGGTTGTTGGATTCATCCTTATTATTAGTTTTTTTTTTTATCATCAGATGGATTAGGACGAGATGTGAAAAAGGCTGAGTTTCTCTCTAATGAGACCGATACGCAAGTGTTACTCGAACATGTCGTCCCTAATGGTTGGAGGGAAGGTATTCTCACTATTGGCACATTTGGGTTTGATCCATTGAAAAATTTCGATCAACAGAATGAGGGTCCAATTGCAAATGAAGTTGACGCAGCAGAAGAAGAAAAAGAAGAAGAAGAATGTGTGGAACAAGTATATTTCACTGACAGCGAGAGTGACAACATCGATTTAGAAGATGAACAACTGAATCCATTGGTGTTTACAGCATTTAACCGTGGCTTGGAGAAAGACACTGGTTCAGATTGTGATGAAAATGCCCCGAAGGTTGATCCGATAATGAATATTGGCGGCATTCCACTTTCCACAGGACCTCATGAACATGGTTTAGAGTTTTCGGAGTCGTACCAGAAGATAAAAAAGAAAGAGAGGACTACTCTTGCAGAATTGTTCTCGGCTGATGCTGATGGGCACGCAAAGCAAGATCATGGGAAAGTTCAGCCAGAATTCATTAAGAAACCTATTCCTCCTGCAAAGAACTACGGGCTCTCATTTGCCAAGAAGCTCATTCCTGGAGCTGGAGGGGATTCCTGTCCGATCCGAAGACTACATACAGTGAGTAAAGCTCCTCTCTCTCTCTCTCTCTCTGTGTAAAAAATTCAAGCAGATGAAGGCCAAAATTTTCGTCCAGCGACCAGATTTGGGGTAATGAAACAACAGTTCCCACTCTGATTTTAATGTATGCTACCTATGCTTTGTACCCAAAATGTTTTAAACTATTCTCACTTTAAAGCCTAAGCTTTAATTTGATCAATTTCATTCTTTAACTTATGGCATAATTTCAATGAGTAGCGATTGAGACCACATTATCTGACCATATTTTCATAACTTAACTGCGATTAAATAATGTTATTGTAACTTCAACTCATTTTTTTTTTTAATAATTAAGTGAATTGACAAAATATTAGAATAGAATATTATGTCTAAAACTTATGTCTAACTAGCTAGTGTTATTGAATGTTGAATTAACCGAGTTCAATAGATAACATGTGTTACATAAAATTTTGCATGTTCATCTCGTGATGCACTTGCCTAATTACTCCGTGATTTAAGAGGTGACACTTTCTTTTTGACATGTTTTTGGATATTAATCACTGATAACTTTGAGCTGAATTAAAACTGTATATATTGAAAGTTAGAGAACAAAACTCATTGACACCAAAAGTTTAGAAACAAAAGTGATGACGAATGTAAATGATAAAGGTATGAAGTGGAATCAACCCTTAGCTTCTATTATTTCAACACACTGTCAAACAATCCCAGAAGCTTGATTGGAGTACGTGCTGCGACCTTATTGTAGAAATTTTTTCCCATTTTGAATCTCAAGTTATGTAGTGCTAATTTATTTTGTGATGCTTTATAGTTGATGACAAAAATGTTGAAGAGAAAGATCCATCCAGACCTTGAGGGCAAGATTCAAAAGCAGCACAGTGAGACTGTGTCCAGTATGTCGGGATTTAATATTAAGGAATATGGAGCGAATGCATCAGTTTCTCTTCTTCAAACTCAAGGTAAGGTTCTCCAAACTATCACAGTGCCCGTGGAAAATTTGTTACCATCCACTCGTGCTACTTGATCTGGACAGCCTCTCTCTCTTTATCTCTCTCTCTCACACACACACACTCTGTTTTGTAGCATTGATACTTGGTAGGGTTCATGTGATGTGTATTTTGAGACACATGATCTAATAAGGTCTGCATACACACTATCCATCCAAATTTTGATATTATGAAAAATTACATACTAAATCCCTTTGCCTCCCCCTCCGATTTTGAGGTAATGAAAAACTTGGTGGGTTAAATTATTTTTAGTAATCTTTGCATGTTTCAATATTCCCTATAGGCATATATATATATATATCAATGGAAACATGTCTCTCTCTCTCTAGGTTTCTCCCGTCTGCATCCTCTTGTCTGTGTTGTTGTACATGTTTTAGTATCTCTCACTTGTGCGTTCCCTATCTGCATTATAACTAGACGCATGGTTAGGTCAGTCATCAGTGTGCCTAGATGAGAGATAAATGTTGTCGAACTAGGTGTTATTTTACATGGCTATACTGTAACCCTCCTCCAGTAACATCGGTCATTCCCACAAAAATATCTTCAAAGATGATTCCAACTAGAAACTTGTCAAACAAATGCTCCACGAGTCTTTGTATTTTACCTCTTTTTCCTCTTTCTCTTTTCCCCTAAATCAAAATGATAGAACTAATCAATACTATCATGGAGTCCAAGTTTTATCCTGTTATATCTGTTACATGGGCCGCGCATGTCTGCCTTACTAGAGACAGGTAACAATAATTATCATCTTTATCATTGCAGTCAAGGCACCATTTTATAATGATAATCAAGCAAAGATGGATGCCATATGCTAAATTTTCTATTTTTTCTGTGGCAGATGCAATGATTTAGTCATACAGAAATCCAGACCCAATCTAGACGCAATTATTCAAACATGAATAAGCTTTTTCTAGAGAACTGTTATGTGTCCTATTTTCCATTTGTTCTGTACGTATTTTATTGGTTAATGTTTGTTTCGTTGTTATGTGATAAAAGCTTGGTTGCAATGAATGTCTATAGGCATCGACTGGTTATGTTTTGGCATATTGATGAGTATTTTTGGCTAGTTATTGGACATGGGGAATGCTAATATAATGGCAAGGATCATGACTGTCCAAATGTAGGCAAACATTTGTTTATATATTTCCTTTAAATTTTTATCTTTATTTCCCATGAAATTTTATATCACCCATATGGTGCAAAACAAATATTAGAGATCATTACTGATAGTGTATTGTACAATTGAACAGAGTTATGTTTGATAGGAGTTGGAGAGTCACTGGAAGGCCCAATCTAAGCTCGTAGGCTTCTTTGGAATTGAACAAATGATAGGGGATTACAAATAGAGAGTTTATAGTGGTTTATCAGTTCGGGAGTTCGGTTAATCCATTCTTAAGGGAGCTCTTACTCCAGGGGAAGAATTTATTGATAAGAGGGAAGATTACACGGAGTATTGGTTATGGCTAATTGCTTGTGTTACATTGTGAGGGATATGCGTCTTATTTATATCCTCCCAAGGCTTTGCCTGATTTTCTGGCATGATCCTTTCCCCTTGTCTGTAACGGATGCATTTGTTATGCAGTCACCGTGGGTGGTGCCTTGGCGGTTGCGACTTTCTTGGCTAATGTAAGACTGTTGCGATTTATGCATAACGCTTTGGTGGGCACCAACAGTTATCCTTGGTGGCATTGTTGCTGGGGAAAATCGATCCGAGCACCTCTGGCAGTTCACCATGAGTTGCGTGATTCAAGCTCAGATGGTCGAGTTGAACGATCGAGCTCAATCTTAGTCATATTTTAGGTACCATCAATTGCCCTCTAGTCCTCAGCCAAGTAAACTTTGTCTTACGTGGGCTGGGGTTGACCTACATTGTGGTGAGTGAGACCAGCTCAATTTGGTGGTTGACCTGCCTTGTTTTCATGAGATCAACTTGGTTTATCCTCAGGATTTTTACAATTGGATGTTTTTCAATTTTTTGGCGTTGCAAACGTGTAAGGAGTCATTTTTGCCTCATTTCTCATGCACATTCGTGATGTGAGCTCCACGTGTTCGCTCGTACACCCACCTTAAATGTTTTCATAGGCTAAACCCTCTATTTCCATTATTTTGAATTTCCTTAGCATTTCTTTTCCCTCTTAGTTTCTCTGCAAGTTCATCTCCTTCTTCCTCTTGGCTATGTAGGTTGTTTCGGTGAGTGCTCGAAGCCACCCAAAAACCTTTTTGAAGCTTGCTATGCTCATTCCTTGAATCCACCTCGGGTCTTCGATTGTTGATCATCCTCAATTAGGTACGTCCTCTGTCTTGCTTTCCTTTTCTACTAGGGTTTTTGTCCATCTTGGATCCTACGGATTCAAAGTGGTTATTCCATTTTTGGACCTTTCACTTCTGTTAATTTAGGAGCCAAGGTCATTCTTTGTCTTTTTTTCCCCGTTTCTTAGATCCTTACGCCACTGCTAGGATCTTTCTTTTTGGTCACTGGAGTCTTGACCCTAGGGCTTTTGAGGACTGTTTCTTAAACATCCCCATTCTCTACGCCTCTTTTAGTCATCCTTCCTCCCGTGCCATTATATCTATTTTTTTGAAGCCATTGTTTCTTCAATATCTCTAGCCATGGGTGATAGGTCTCCCAGGTTTGAGGCCCACCCTCATCATAGAGGGCAATTTGAGGATCCTGACGTGGTAGACGACCTGAGGGATATAGGTAACGAAATTGATAATTTTTCGGGTGTTGATGCAATCAATACCCAGGCTGTTGAGGTCGAGGTTCCTTTACCCCCACTGGGCCCAACTTCAAAGCTTAAGAAATCTCGAAAGAGGGGATCTGAGAAAGGCAGAGTTGCAGCCTCCAACAGTGTTGGGGATGCAGAGGTTAATTCCTGTGCTTCAGACCTTGTGAGGTTCAGCAATATTACCCTGCCCTTTCTGAGTGTCCTCTCCGCCAAATTTGGATTTCCCAGGGGCATGCACTATTGGCCTCCCTATGTAGATATTCGGTACGACACCGAATTGTTTGAGAAGACCTGTTCTTTCGTTGCATCCTTTGAAAATTATCTCAGATTTCCTTTGCACCCCTTCCTTAAGTTTGTCTTCTAACACTTCAACGTTTATGCAACACAACTTTCCTCCAACTTTTGGGGCCTTCTGTTGGGTCTCTTGGTGCCCCCTCAGTCCCTTTGCTAATTTATTTCTTCAATGTCAAGTTTTCTCCCCCCGATGGCTTTTTGTATATCTTGAAACGGGTGAAAACTCGACCTCTGATTACTGTTCTCCCGAGTTCCTATAAAGGTTGCAAAAAACTCTTCTTCTTCGTTTTTGGGAATGAGTGTGAATTTAACCTAATGGACGCCAACGACACATTTCTTGTGCCTCGAATTTGGTCAAGCTCTGACAATTTGGGTAAGTACTTGCCGAGGTGATTTGGTCTTAACCCTTCTTCAATTTCTGCGTTCCCATCACTGACCTCATTTTCCTTGTTATTCTAGGTATTCATCTCGACCTTGATGCAAACGAGAGGATAGTCCTTTTAGGCCTCGAGAAGTGTCTACCTGAAAATTATTTTGGGCTTCTCATGCCATCAATGCTCATTCAGTATAAGTTTAGTCCTCTCGAAATAAGAGTTGAGACCCCCATACCGTTAACCATTCTTGGTGGGGAGGAAACTGTTGGTAAGACCTCTAACTTAATAATTTTTTTGCTATTTTCTCCTCTTTTTTTTTTTTTATATTCAACATTCTATTTTCTTCTTTTTTGGGTTCAGGCTCCATGGCCCTGGATGCTGTTGTGGTGAAGGCCAGATTGGCAAAAATGAGGAAAGAAAAAGATACAGGGAAGAGGAAAGCAAAGGTCAGTATTAAGCTTGACCTGGTGCGCCCCTCCAAGACTTCAAGGAATGATTCTACTCAGAAGTCCCTTCCTCTCCAGAAGACTCCATCTCTTCAAAGGATTCCTCCACCTTAGGGGTCCCCTCATCCCCTGAAGACTCCATCTATTCCCCAGTCTTTTGTCCCAATATCGCCAACTTCTTCTAGGCCCAAGAAGTGTTTTACGAGGGACAGTCAGACTACCATATCATCATAAAAGGCAGTCGGTGCCTCAGAGATCCATTAGCCCCTTCCTTGCATGGCTCTCTCTTGTCAAAGTCAACTAACGAGTCTTCATATCAGCTGGTCCTTCGCTCAACGGAGGGTTCCTCAGGTCGAGGTGCCAAAGGTTAGGGTTCCCTCATTAGAGATGTAAATCTAGCTTTCGACACCCTTCTCTCCATCATCCCTGAGGCTAACATCCAAGAGGACTCCATGATGCCCTTGTTAACTTCAGCTGCTGTTGCTCTTTATGGAGTGACCTCAGTGAGTCTATGACTACTTTGACAGTTAATCTAGGTCTATCCGCTTTGACTAATAGTCTTCTAACTTTGAAGTTTGTCTTTCTTCGCAGATATCAATCCATGTAGGAGCCTTGGTAAGTAGAATTTGAAAGTCGAAGAGGGTAGCTGAGGTGGTCCAGAAGTCTTTAAAAGCCTCTAAGCTCAAGATCTCCAAGCTGTCATTCACCAATGATGATCTAAAAGCCCAGGTGCAGGGTCTAAAGGCTCAAGTGTAGAGTTTAAGTTCTACTAATAAGAATCTTGAGGCCGATGTCAAACTGAAGAACGATAAGGTTAAGCTCAAGACAGATGGCCTAGTCCAAGAGAAGAAGGATGTATTGGAGGCTCATGAAGCTGTTCAGGCTGTAAAGAATGACTTGAAGGAGCTTGCCAAGATTAACATTGTCTATTTGAAGGAGATCGACTTCGAATGAGCTAAGGTGGCTTAAAAGGACTCTCAAATCCTCGATCTTAAGGATGAGTGTGCCACGGTCTGGGCCAAGGGCTATTTCTCTTTTCAAGAGCAGGCCATAGACAAGTACTCAGAGTTGGACTTTGACTTCGACCCCCCGCTGGGTGAGGAGGAAGAAGGATCAACTGTGGAGAAGGAGGCTGATGGAGAGCAAGCTAAGGCCAAGGCTTCTGAGGCCGCCCTTGTTGAAGCTGAAGTCGAAGTTTTTGAATCCGTTTCTCTTCTGCCAACTTCTTCTGAGGTGGTTGCAGAGATGGAAATGCCCCAGACTGCCCTAGTTGCCCCCAACTCTCAATTGTTTATGCTGGTATTGAGGCCTCTGTAACTTATTTGCCTGAAGGTCTCCCAATCTTCGTTGACCTTCTACCTGCTCCTGTTTTGCCAGAGGGTGAGGAAAGCATGGGTGCTCCTGAGCTACCCCCAGGCTATTGAAGATACTTAGATCTTTCTGTATTATTATTATTATTATTTAAATCCTTTTGCTCTGTAACGTTGAAAAAGGAAATTTTAATGAAAAAAATCATTTTTTGCACATCTTGTTTTTAATATCTTTATTTTTGCTCCTTTGCCCCCATGCTTTGAGGAGAGCTTTGGCCTTCTAAAGCAAGTTTTCTTGCTAAAAATGTGTAAGTATGAGGTCTGTCCATCTTAGTTTATGAGCTGGATAGTTTTCTTTTACCCATGAGCTAAAGAGCTCATTTTTATTTATGAGCTGAAGGGCTCATCCTTATTTTATGAGTCTAAAGACCTTATCTTTGTTTTATGAGCTAAAGAGCTCATCTTTACTTATGAGGTGAAGAGCTCATCTTCATTTATGAGCTAAATATCTCATCTTTATTTTATGAGTTGGAGAGCGACAATTGACCTAAAACTTCTCATTTATTGCTGCAATTTTTATAAAAATAGGATTTTTTGTTTCTCTTAGTTATTGATAGAATTCCTTAGGTGATTAGTGTTCCATGAGTGAGGCAGAGTTGTTC